TTCTCCTTCTGGTATCCCTATTATATGGATATTATTGCGTTTCAGGTTGTCCTGCCTTTCCCTAAATGCCTCTTCATTCTTTTTGAGTCTTTTTTCCATTTCTTGTTCTTTCTGGGAGCTTCTTTCTACCTTATCCTCCATCTCACTGATTCAATCCTCGGCTTCATCCAGTCTGCTTTGGATTCCTTCTACTGTGTTCTTCAATTCAGAAATGGTATTCTTCATATCCTCTTGTATCTTCTTGACAGTTTCTATGTCCTTTTCCAGGTTGATATAGTTTGTTGTAAGATCCTGATAATTTCTCTGCATTTTCTCATAGTTCTCTTTGAGCTGGCTGAGCTCATTGAGCTTCCTTAGAACCATTGTTTTGAATTCAATATCTGATAGTTCCCTTGCCTCTATTTCATTTAGCTCTCTGCGGGGAGTCCCCTTTTCCACTCATTTGGGGGGGAACTTATTTTCTTCCCATTTTTGTGAGAGTCTGTTAAGTAGTTTGTTTATTTGTTTGTTTGTTTATTTTTTTATTTTTGCTTCTGCTTCAATTGGGCTGTCTAGATTTCCTGACTTTGTGGATTTAACTTCTATGGTAGTAGGTGGGTTTCTTTATTTATGTATTTATTTATTTTTTTCCTTTACTTTTCTTTCTGGGCCTGCCTCTGATGATGTCAGTTGTTGACCCTATATGACCTTGGGTCGTTTGTTTGAGCTTTCAAGGAGTCTACTGTCTGTGTTTGACTCCTGCTTTGGGCAGCTCTGTGACTCCTTCGGCTAGAGATCGACTCTTTCTGTGGATTGCTCTGCACTCTCACACTGGCTCCTTGAGCGCGCTCCCTGGCCCAGCAGGATCCCCCACCCACCTGGGCTTGTGTGTGCTTGCTCCAGCCCAGGGGGCTTATTCGCGACCTGGCGTACTTGTCTGGCTCCCCAGGCCGGCGGGTACCTGGGCACTGGTCAGTTTAGGGTCTTCTATTGTGTGCTTTCCCCGCTTTTGGCTCTTTGGATGCATTGCCTGCCCTCGCCAAATGGAGACTATGGAATAGGGAGGAAGTCAGCTCCAGGACTCTCTGGTTAATCCTGTCTCCAGTCTCTCCTCCAGGGACTCTGGGCAGCTCTGTGACCCTTTCGGCCCGGGATCCACTATTTCTGCGGCCTGCTCTGCACTTGCCGACCCTCCCGGGTTGATTTACACCTGCCCTCGCCTATCTGCGCACTCCCTCGCAGGCCCCATCGGTGCAAACCTGTGGGAGGCCTTGCTAGCCCCTGCGAGCCCTCGCCAGCCCACACGGGTCCACACACACGCTCGCCAACCCTCGCTGGCCACTCGGCGCAAGAGTGTGCACCTGCACTGCGAGGTTTTTGGCTGTCTATTGTGTGCCTTTCGGCTTTTGGCTCTTTGGGTGTGTGGCCTCTTCCCACACAATGGAGACTACGGAAAGGAGAAGGAGTCAGGACTCCCCGGTTCCTCCTCCCATTCTTCCCCAACGCCTCCGTCTCCAGTCTCTCCTCAAGGCTCTCAATGCAGCTGTGTGATCCCTTTGGCCAGGGATCCCCTATTTCTTCCAGCTTGTCTGCACTTAGCCCCTCAGCTCACACGTGTACAAGCTGTGTGCGGAGCACACAAAAGGCATGTTAATTGATTCCCTTATGCCTGAGCGAGATGGTAGCTGCAGAGTGGGAGGTGCATTATCACCGGGGCTCCACTGGCCACCATCTCAGGTCTCTTCACAAAGTTTTCCTCACCAGTCTTTTCCCAGGCACCAGCCCACCCTGCTGCCGCCTCTACCCAGAGATCAAGGAGGGTGGCTGCCACTGCAATTTTTGCGTTGGCCCTTTAAATGTCTCTTTGCATCCCCAGCCACCTGTCTCTGGCAGAGAGCGCCCCTAAGCTTTTCAGGGTTGTGTTTTGTCTGCATTTTCCTGGTTTTAGTTGCTGTAGTTCAGAGGTCCCTGTTTATGATTCAGACCCTGTTCTTCTCAGCGGGGAGCTAACTGGCCGTTTCAATGTCCCTCTGGTGCTGGTGCCGTGGGCACCCAACCCACCCTTTCGAGCCTCCACTGCAATTCTCACCCGTTGGGATGTGTGAGAGTTGAGCCCACTGTCTGTCCGCGGCTCCAAGGCTCCTCTCCCTCTATCGTTCCATTGTTTTCCAGGTGATTACTCCACTATTTACTCGCAATTCCAGTTTGGTCTTGGGAGAAGGAGGTTAGTGTGACTCCCATTCACTCCTCCGCCATCTTCCAGCCCTAAACATTTAAATAAATAAACAAAAAGCTAATGCTCACTGAATGCACTGTCCAGTTTCCTGACAAATTAGGCTCTACAACTTCTGTTCTGGGCCTGATCCACTCTGTACATATCAAGTCCCTAAGACATGTGATACAAATGAGCTCTGACAAATGAGCTCTGAACCGGACACTTTATGCCACTTCATTCTGCTCCATGTAGCAGTTGCCTGTTGTGTGTCACCTAGTGCAACCTGTCCCCTACTTCCATTATCTACTGTGTTTTCCCTCGTTCTTCTAGATGACGGGATGCAGGTTCAACAGTTTAGTGCCCACCTCTCATGTATTTAAGAAAACACTTGCATTTGACTTCATAATGAAAGTTTCCTCTTTTTTGATGAAGAGCAAAATTGTCCCTCAGTGTCAGATGTCCTTGGGTGTGCACAGTACTCTCCTCTGAAACGGGGTGGCACCCCTGTATTTCACACGGTCATCACTCTGTCATCTCCCGTCCTCCTCAGCAGATCCGAACAGAGAGAAACCAGAGTACCTGGGTGTGAAATAGTAACGCAGTCTGAGAACCTCCCTAAAGAAGTGAAGAACATTATTTTTCGTTGTTAACTAGATTTAAAAAGAATCTTCCCTTTTGAGGTAATCACCAATTTACAGGAAATACAAAGGATAGAGGAATACATTAGGCTCATTGGAATTATGCAATTGTCAAAATACACAGTGGTAAAGACTCTACAGGATCACCCTGATTTTCCCTAACAGTAACCTACCAGAAGTTAAGTGGAGTGAGAAGACCTGTAGACTAAAAGAGGCTTTACACATTGTAGGTAGCTGTGTAAATTTCCAGAAAGAATGCTTTTGCTTTAGGAGTTTCCCAGCACGCACAGTAACATAAGAGCAGCCAGGTGATCTGCTTAGCCTGAAATCCGGCCAACATGCAAACTTTCTTCAAGAGCCGAAGTTTAGTGAGAATTAAAGTTCATTTTAATTTAGAGAGAAAATCTATTGAGGGTGAATATTTATCATTTGTAGAGAATTAATTTTGTGTTCAACAAATTTACTCACAGATGTTGTTACTATTTGGACAACACAGCCACTGAGAGTCTGTGTAAAAAATAATCACAGCAGTGCACAGGAAGGAGGGCCCAGTGCCTTGCATGGCTTATGGAAGCAGGAACAATGCTTTGCTTTCTTGCTATAACACCATCAGACCTTGCATAAAGTAAACCCAAGTCTAGACAAAGAGCAAGCTATGAAAATGACCCTTTTCTTTTCAGATGGGTTTGTTTTACCAGCCCAGATAATGACAAAGGAAATGAGACAAACAAGCCAACAGACACTGAGCAAACATCACCTTTAGTGGAGATTCCTGAATTCCCTATGGAAACAAATAAACAGGAGGCAGCTAAACACCACATGCATGCCTCTGGAATGAAGAGAGCTGGGCTAATAATATTAAGCACCTAAACCTTGTTTTCTAAAAGCAAACACTTAATTGGATTAAAACAATGATGGGACAGAAGTAAAAAGATGGTGTTTCAAGAACCAGGTTCCCTAAGTAAGGTTACTCGTCCCTCGTACGGCTGAAGGTGGAAGGCTGCTGCTGTGCAAACATGGTCCATCCACCCTGAGGAGACCCCTTCAGGGAGGGGATACCAGGCTCAGTGAGTGTCCTCTCACATGTGTGCAGATCAGTGCTCAGTCAAAGACTCAAAGTGGATCAGTGATGCCCTTGCAGTTCTCATCTCTCTCTCTCTCTCTGTGCAAATCCCTCTTCTTTGGTGCACTTTTCCATAAATTCTAGGTGTCTCTGGATCCCCAGTCTCCTTCTGTCCCATCAGTGAGACAGCTGCATTATTTTTGCTACACTCTCCCTGCACTGAAACTGCCTCCAGGAAGCAAGCTGGGGCAAGGGTAGGGCTCACCTCACTGTTGTCTTTATCTGTCTCTGTGCCACCTGTAGTCCAAGGTCCAAAAATTGTTGTTTCATTTATTTAGTCCAGTCTTCTGATTGGAAGGTCGATTCCTACAGCACTCTAATTTTGCCAGTGAAACAGAAATCACAGTACTTTATTATATTTGTAATTTACAAATGTATCAGTCCATGATGGATCAGGGAAAAATTGATTATTCTATCACAGATTATTTGAAAAGAACTTATTAGATAATGCTTTCTCAGTGGTGCTGAGTCCTGGGAAATGAAGAAGACCAATTCAGGTGAAGGACTGGAGGGGAGTAGGGAGAAGTTTCTTGGCAGAAGGATCCTTCACTGACCATGAGAATCATGGGGACATATGATAAGGAGAGACCTCAGACTGTGCCACTTAAACATTGTGCCTGGGATTATCTGAGAAGCAATAGACTTCTGTAAGAAATCATTCATGCAAGAAATGATGAGAGTGATGATTAAATATTTCCCAAAGGATACTATTGAACATATAGAGCAAATATTTAGTATTTTCTTCTTAGAGTTCTATCCCATTCTCCTGTGTTTACCCCACTAAGTGTTAGAAGAAATCCCGTCCAGGAGGTTGTTGTGGTGTAATTTGAGGGGTAACCACCAGGGGGCAATGCTTCCTTCTGATGTGGTTCCTGGTTGTATTCCGGTGGTGCTTTCACTCTGGTGCTTTTGTAGACCCCAGAGAGATGATTTTTGTGCAGAAAGGGGATGGTATGGGTGAGGAGCTTCTGTGAGAGCTCCTTGGAGACTGGCCTTATTGCATTTGGTGTATTCCAGGGAGCAAGGATCATCTTCTTCTCCCACTATGCTTTCTGTCACCTCTTTCTTTCTTATGATCTTAATATTCAGTAAGTAACATTTTATCCTAAATGTCAATGATTTTTCATTTTCCTATAATTATAGGTAACTTTCAGTTGTCTTCTTTGGCTGAAAACTCTCTGCCTATACATTTCTCACATAACAAAGGAATTATTTTTCAGGAGGGACCAATGGAGACTCAGTGACCCAGACAGAAGGCCCTGTTACCCTCCTGGAGACGACAACTATGATCCTGAACTGCACTTACCAGACCGCTTATCCAGGTCCTGTCCTTTTCTGGTATGTCCAGTATCTCAATAAAGCTCCCCAACTCCTCCTGAAGAGCTCAACGGACAACCAGATGACAGAGAATGAAGGATTTAAGGCCAATCTTATGAAGAGTGACAGCTCCTTCCACCTCGAGAAATCATCAGTGCAAATGTCGGACTCGGCGGTGTACTTCTGTGCTCTGAGTGACACAGTGGGGGAGGCTGCAGGTGGAGCCGAGCGCAAACCCCGAGGGGAGCAGGTGGGGCCTGACTGTGGGCAGCCCTGGGAGGGAGGGTTATATCCTCTCCCTAAGCAGTATTGCTTCTATGTAGAGATTCCCCTGGAGAGTGAAGCAAGCTCAAGCAATTCCTAGAAAGAAGAGGTTAGTGATTGCTCTTTGGGTAAAAAAGGGTGGATGTCAGTGTGAAAGAGACCCCAAGCTTCAACCTCAGCAGCTCTCAATCAGAGAAGCCTGTCTCTTCTCCAGACTCCAATATTCTCAGAGAAAATGGCTGTAGGAAAACTCTGTCATGGCATGAATGTCTACCATGATGTTTTAACTATTTAATGATTTAAAAGCCCCAGTAATCTTGGGTTTTTCATGCAAACATTCAAGAACCATACAAGGACTTAAGATCTGGACTTCAGTGCTCTGCACAAATAAGTGTCCACAGCTAAGGGGGATGTGCCTCTCTCTGGCATAGTCCTTGCAAAAGAAAATTCAACCCAACCCCACACTAACCTTTCACTCACAGAGCTGCGTGGGAAACACTGCTGTGGAAGGAATCGCAGGGCAGAGCACTGAGGGCCACACCCTCCTCTGGTCTATACTCCTCACAAGGCGAGAGGCAGCCGGTCTGGAAAGGCTGTGTCAGGGGAACCCTCACTCTGCCTGTCCCGTCTCCGCTGCCATCACCAGGATCCTTATCCTGGGGAGGATGTGGTCAGTCACCTGGGTTCAGACTTCAGGTCCCAGATACTCATCTGAAAGGAGGCCGGGATTTTGACCCATCTCAGCTCTTTAGACTAAAAGATTAGTTTACACTAAAATATATTAATATTATTATATATCTCCTTATAAAACAAGAAAGGTCTTTTTGCAAAGATCATGGAGGCTTCCATAAGAAGGGTCCATATTCATCCACAGAGTAGAAAAATAAAGAGCATAGAGAATAGGAAAGTAGCTCGGGCGGCTATAACAGGATACCACAGACTGTGTGGTTCAAGCAAGAGAAATTTACTCTCTCATAGTTCTAGGGGCTAGTAGACGATGATCAAAGTATCAGCAAGTTTGGTTTCTGCGGAGTGTTCCGGTAAGGAGTTCATTGCGACAGGAGCAAGGATATGCAGGAATTATTCCTTCCTTGCTTCAGTGTTAATTATTCTTGGTGTGCCCTTTCACCCACATCCAGGCTTCCTCCCCGGGCGTGTGTCCTGTTTATGCCCTGCCTGGTAGTCCCATGCCTGTGAATGGAGCCATCCTCACTTTTCTTGCTTTATTGGTATCTTAGTGTGTTCAGCCATGGATCCAAACTGGCAAGAGATGTGTGGGCGGCAAGAGAGAAAGTGCAGTATTTTTCCTCATTTGCCCCCTGCCTGCTAGGATGGGCTGGTTCTGACATTGGCGGCCTCCCTCCCTGTGTTAGACTAAATGTTTGTGTCCCCATCCCCAATTCATATGTTGGGTTGCTAACTCCCAATATAATGGTGTTTGGAAGTAGAATCTTTGATAGATAATTCGGTTTAGATGAGGTCGTGAGTGTGGGCTGGCCTGATGGAACTAGTGTCATTTTTTTTTAGAACAATGATCCCAAGTCTGATAAAGACAAAGAAGGTCACACCCAGGCACATTTCAATCACAATTCTGTCAAACAATTAAATAAAGATCAGATCTTAAAGCAATCTCTGGAAGAAAATAGATACATCACCTGCATGCAGGAACAATAATGCAAATGACTGATTTTTTTTTTTTTACTCACAACAATGGAAACCAGAAGACAATGAAATAACATATTTAAAGTGCTGAAAGAAAAATAAATGACCATCTAGAATTCTATTGCCAGCCAAAATATCCTTTAAAAATAAAGACAGATTTATTTCTCTTGTTTGTTCATTTGTTGCTTTCAGCTTCATATACCATATTTGAGTGAAATCATACAGTCCTTAACTCTTTCTGCCTGACCTGTGTGCTTAGCATGATGTCCTCAAGGTCCACCCACGTTGTCTCATATGACAGTGTTACATCTTTTCTCACAGCTGAGTAGTATTACATTGCGTATATATATCACATCTTTATCCACTCATTTATCGAAAACTCTGGTTGTTTTCCTGTCTTGGCTACTGTGAATAGTTCAGCAATGAAGATAGGTATGCATATATGTTCGCAAATAAATGTCTCCAAATTCTTCAGGTACATACCCGGAATAGGGGTGGCTGGACACAGACAACAATGTGGTGGTTACCAGAAAGAAGGGGAGTGGGGTGGGTGGGGGTAGTAAAGGGTACAGAGGGACAAATATATGGTGACTGAAGATAATTTGACTTTGGGTGATGCGCACACAACAGAATACATAGGTCATATATCACCTAAATGTATACTTGAAACCTGTATTATTTTATTAACCAATGTCACCCCCAAAATTTAATTAAAAATCAAATTATCTAATGCATATAAAGCAATTCTAATTATAGTGGAAACTGTAATTGTCTCCCAACATCTATTCTATGCCCAGTCTGTGGGTGCTCCTGATTAATCCAAGTGAATCATTTCCATCTAAAAAGATAAAGAAAAGAAAATGAAAAAGAATTAATTCTTACCGTTTGCAACAGCATGGATGGACCTAGAGGGTATTATGCTAGGGGTAACAACTGAGTCAAAGAAAGACAAATACCATATGATTTCACTTAAATGTGGAATCTCAATAACAGTCTAAATGGTCACACAAAGCAGAAAGAGACCCATAGAGAGAGAGCAGACTGACAACGGCCAGAGGGGAGGGGCTTTGGGGAGCTGGGTGAAAAAGGTGAAGGGATCGAGCAGCACAGGTGAGCAGGTGCAAAACAGTCATGGGGATGTAAAGCCAGCATAGGGAATGCAGTCAATAACATTGCAAGAGCTGAAAGGTGCCAGGTGAGCACTGGAAATACTGGGGACGGGAGAACACTGTGTAAAGCACATTATTGTCTAACCACTATGCCGTACACCTGAACCCAATACAAAATAATATTGAATGTAAACTGAATTTGAAAAAAGGAACTTAAAATTCCTTTTTAAAAATAAAGGAAAATAAATATGTTTTCAGAGAGAGAAAGGAAAAATTACTCGTCTTCAGCTGACGTGCAGTACAGGAAATACTAAAAGCAACGTAGCAGCCGAAAGGACACTGATATCAGCAGTGCCATTACTTGTGGAAAACCGAGGAGGCCTCTCGGCTCCCTCTTCCCTGAGTCCTCTTTCTCATTAAAGACAGATGACACTCAGCCTCCTTGTTACTTTCCTCTCAGCTCTTTGGGGGCTAGAGGATGGGCTTTCTCAAGAGAATGTTTCCTTCTTCGAGGTCCATTGATCTCCACAAAGAAAACTCTGTCCAAGATCCATAGTTTTCTGCTCTTCCTTGTGGACTTCCTTGTGGACTTCCTTGCTACCTGACCCCAGATTCAAAGGAGACCCAAACGCAGTACTTTGCTTGAGCCCTGGGCAGAGCCTGCCTGGCTGGTCACCACAGAAGTTCCTGCCTAAGCACAGGGCATCAGGGATATTTTCAATCTACCATCTTTCTAGAACTGCCTCCTTCTTATCTCAAAGAATTGTTCCTTTGTTATAGAACTAAATTTCTAAAGGACCACTCCTGGTGTGGGGAAGGTCAGAATCAATGCTGGTTGATGAAAAAATACCTCGATCTGGTAATATTTAACATTTAGTTAACATACCTGTATAGAATTTTAAATTTCTATCGATTCTGATATTTTTCGTATGCTTTCTATCATTTTAGAAATCCATGACCATTGTAAATTTATGAAAAAAAGTTTTTATTTCATATAAAAATATTACATATTACCTCCATTTAGAATTTATTCTGCAACAGATATTAAAGTAAGCATCCAAATTTACTTGTTAATATCTAAATGCTTCTTCACTCATGAAGGCACATTTTACTGACTGTACCTTCTCTTCCCCATTTTTATTACAACTACATTTCCATTAGTAATTTGTATGTTAGGTTTTCCATTCTGTTCATTGACGTCTCTCTCTGGACCTTTCTAGGGACATGCTTTTCCACCTACTATAGTATTAGCCTTTGCCTCATTAACTGTGGGGGAATTCCCCCTCCATTCTTGTTCAGAATTGAAAGGCTTCCTGAAGCCCGATTACCTGCAGTACCACATTTGGCCTCTAGAGGAAGAAACGTCACAAATTGAACTTAGAAGAAGGTCTAAAAAGAGCCAGCCCTTTGAGGAAATGCCTTCGCTTTACGTGCCGGGGAAACTCACTCACCGCTCTGCCAGGGTCCATGTGGCTGCACTGTCTCCAGAAAAGAGCCTCCTGTTTCCCCACAGCTCAGACATGAAGCCCATCCTCACTTCAGTGCTTGTGATCATATTCACACTCCGTGAGTAACATTTCTTTTAATTCTATCTTTCTATGGTCTTCTGGTTTAGAATCAGTTTAAAGAAATACTCTCCTCCATCTGCAAGATGATCCCTGATCTAGAATTGGTGTTACAGGAGGAATTAGAGCCCAGACGGTGACTCAGCCTGAGGACCACATCTCGGTTCTTGAGGGGACCTCGGTGGAGGTGAGGTGCAACTACGTATATTCCGGGAGTCCTTACCTCTTCTGGTATGTCCAGTACCCCACACAAAGCCTCCAGTTACTCCTGAAACACACCTCAGGAGGCAGCATCAAAGGTTTCACGGCTGACCTTAACCGGAGTGAGACGTCCTTCCATCTGAAGAAACAATTTGCTCAAGAAGAAGACTCAGCTGTGTATTACTGTGTGCTGGATGCCACAGTGCCTGGTTTACAAAGGAAGCAGGTCAAAAACCCCTTAGGAGTTCCAGCAAATATTTCATTGTAAGTCCTCTGTATGGCCACAGGGGGCTTTCTTTCTCTTAAGACTGACAGAGTTCACTTCTTAGATAAAACATCATCAGTTGTCTATTTTTGAAAGAGTAACCTCAAAATAATTTGTCCAAGAAAATTCTTATTACCTGTCTGCCTAGATTAATTTTTAAATTAGCAAATATATTTATTTTATCGACTGGTACCTGGAAATATACTTTTGAAATGAACAATGAAATAGCACAGCAAAAAAAAAAAGCCACTCTTTTTCTTGGCCCAGGGGGACTCTCCAGGTTTATGTGGCGCAGTCCCACCCCCCCCAACTCCTCTGCCACCCAACCACCCCACATGTGTCTGTCACCACATATCTAAGCACAGCTGCTTAAAGTGTGATTACCATTTCATGACCTCTGATTGCTGGTCTTTCTGCATCTAATGTCTTTCCTCTCCTGGACTCCTACAACCTCAGTTAGGATCCAATAAGAAGAAAAACGAATATTTTTAATGAGAAAAGTTTAATACAAACAATTACTAAGTAATAAGAGAACTAATTACAATGAGTAAAAATAAAAAAAAAAAAACCCCTAAAGAACATAGGCATAGCATATGTGGGGAGAAGTTCTCATCCCGAGGACTACTCCAAACTTCCAAAGTAAGTAACACATGGAAATGCATACCCTCCTCCCCTACTAATGCTTCTGACCTCACTGGGGCGTCATATTGGGGGAGCGTGGTGCTAGCCTGGCGGGTTCTGGTGAAGTTTGCTGAGGTGCCAGAGGAAAAGGCTGGCAGGCAGGAAACTTCTTCCAGGGGTCCAACACCATGTCCAGGAAGCTGGCAAAGGGACGCTCCTGGACTGGCCTGGGGTGCTCCTGAGACGGGCCAGGACACCGCCTGTGGGGCTGTCACTGAAGTCTGCTGGAGGCGAGTGTCACTGGCGTCCCACAGGCTGGGCGAGCACTGCAGAAAGAAGATGTGTGCCAGGCATGCCAGAACCAGGAAAAGAAGCCTCTTCTCCCTCCAGTGCCCTTCTAGTTCCCTCCACGGACAAAGCTTAACATCACGCGAGCTGGCAACGGGTAATGTGTACAAGGTCCCGGTCCAGAATCCCAAATAGGGCAATGAAGGGTAAGTTTGGAGTTAACAGGCAATAGACTGATAACGGCACGCCTGTCCTCCTGGTTACTGATCTTTCTCACACATGCCTGCGTACACATTTGAACTTCCAAATAACAATGACTTGACTCCACATTTCCATCTAATAAGCTAAAGCCGTCCTTTGAACAAGTGAAGAAGTTCTCATCCTTTTCCTAAAATGCAGAAGCCTATAGTCCTCACAGTCACTATGAATTTTTGGCTCTATTAATCACTTCTAAAATATGGATGAAATGCCACTAAATATGCTGTCCTATACAGACTAAATTGTAAATTTCATCTTCAACAATTTGTACATAAAAATTATGAGGAGAAAGAAGAAGAAAACTGTATGTACAAAGGATCACATACATACATGTAAAGAGCAAAGAGAAAACACAGGCAACCACTACAATCCTTGATTCCCGATTTGGTCATGAGGCCGCAGCTGTCATAGACAACTTCCTTCTTTTATTAAACATTTTATATTTCATCTGCTCTCATCCATAAGCTCAGCGGATTGTGGGTATTTGCCTTGAGGAGTGACCTAAATTTTCATTCTCTAAGCGTCTGATTCTTCAAACATCCTGCCCTCTTATTGCTTGCTGTCATTTTCCATTAACCTTTACTGTTGGGCATGGAATTCCCCAGGAAATTCCCCTGCACCTAATGTCTTTCCTCTCCTGGACTCCTATAACCTCATTCAGGGTCCAATAAGAAGAAAAAACAATAGTTTTAATGATGAAAGTTTAATACAATTATTAAGTAATAAGAGAATTAATTACAAATGAGTAAAAATAAACTAGACATAATTTTCTTTATATCTGTTATGTAGCAGCAGAGCAGTTCCCCCTTAGTAATTGGTATCAATCACTCATCTTCCAATTCAATGAAATCATTGCTGTGTCTCCTGGTGGAAGCATTCCTCCTTTTAGAGAATAAGAACTCCAAAGCAAGAGCTAAAAGTTATAAATATTGGAAGCAAAATTCTTGCTAGTGGGTTATTGGTAATAATAGTGAGAAGATCCACTTCCAGGGCCACTTCCTTGTTGCCTGGGCCCATGTATTCTGGCTGAGGGGAGATGACACCATATAATGGTCTCTGATATAAAGCATATACTGTATCTTGCAAGACAGAATCCCATCTTTTCAGGAAGTTTTACTCCTACTGGAGTCTTAACCAAATCAATAAGCCATTCCACATTTTAACAGACTAGCCACTTGTAGGTGATGGAGCATGTGTTAAGAACAGATAATTTTGTGGGCATGTGCTCACTGCTATAATCTTTTGCTATGAAAATAGTTCCTTCACCAGAATACTTGCTATGGGACATACCTTGATGAGATTAGGCACTCCACGAATTTGTGAAGATGATGCAGACAGAAACATTATAAACAAGGAGACAAATCCATACACAAGTGTATGTGTCTCTTCCAGTGAGGACGAATTTCAGCCATCTCCATCATGGCAGAAGTCTGATGCAATCAACATATCCCCAGGTGTCTGGGAAGTTCCTCTGAGGAAGGTCACCATATCAGGGGTTCAGTATTAGTCTCTGAAGTTGTCAGGTTAGGCACTCAGAAGTAGTATCAGTGAGGTCAGACTTAATAATGGTAAATCAATGCTTTTGAGCTCATGCATACATTTCATCCCTGTCACCAGGGGCCACTTTGGTCATGGGATCATTGAGCAAGCATTGTGCTGGCTGGGGAAAGGTGCTAACACATCCATAGAATGTATCATATGGCTTCCAATGAAGATGGCAATGTAGGCAGACATGATGTGCTTCTTCACAAACCCACATCAAAAGTACGAATAAAGTATAGAACAACCATTACTCAGGAACGTCAGAAATCGAGCTGAAAGGAAGTCTGACAACTATGGAAGTGAAGAAACCACATCCATCCAGACTGGTAGGTGCTGTGGGAATGGAGCGCGTTGTGGGGAGCATGCAGCAATTTGGGATCTGAGGGTTAGTGTCCCAGGCCAGCTGAGATGGGAGCACAGACTTTGAATCCCGCAGAGCCTTTCCTGCAGTTGTCATGAGTGGGGGGAATAAACACGAGTCCTCGCAAACACTTCTCTATTTGCCAGGAGAGGGGACGTGCCACATCCCTCTAGCAGGGAAGGCCCTGATTCCCTTTGTCCAAAGGCTTTTATTGAAAAGGTTATCAGTGGGGCTAGGTAACAGGACTGCACAGGTTATCTCATTACATCAGTACGTTCATGTTTATATAGAATAGCTGATGTTTTGAAGAAAACAATGACAGGAACACACCGATTTACATGGGTCCAAGAGGACACTAGTAAACAAGAGAGACGACTAAACATGAGAGTGTAGTAAACATAAGAGCACCTAAGGGTATAGGGTTAGGTCTGTGAATAATGTAAATTTCCTTCCCAGTATGAGCTGGCTATCATAGCTTTTGAGGGAAAAACAAAGTGTACTTTAAAGAACTTACTATTAGGCCTGGTTACCCCTGGGAACCACTAGATCTAGTTTAGGACTGCCTCTGGTATTGTTTCGAGCCTGAGCCAGGAGGAGGGAGGGAGCCGCCAAGAGATAAGAAGACTTCTTTCAGATAGAATGAGGACTCCAGCCATGTCCAAGCTGATCCAAGGGGTGCAGGCCTTTTTGTCCTTTCTCCGTGTCCCCCAAGTCCTTGTCTGCTGCCCATACCAATAGATGACCGTCTTAGGTTGTTTCTCGTCGTGAGAAATCTTACCTGTCATGGATCACCGACCATCTCAAGGCCAAGCAGGGCAATGTGAGGGAGGCAGGGGCTGTGCCTCTGCCAGAGGGAGCAGGTTTCATCTCCTCAGGGGCCTGTTTTCCCAAGGCCTCCTTGATTATTTCCAGCCTTGGGGCCCTCCAGCCTGTAGGCAGCGTTACAGTTCCTGAAATCAGATAGGGCGTTTCCCAACAGGTAGGATGGGTGCAGACATGGAAGAGGCTGGCCCCACATCCACGTTGATAAAAATTTGGGAGGGATATCTCGGGAGTGAGGAGTCCCAGACCCACACCAGGCTCCTCAGCCTGGGATTCCAGTGCCAGGAAGGTAAGTCCCCAAAACTTCTGGCTGTGAAAACCAGTGAGGATGGAGATGGTAGAGAAGGCTGTTGGAGCCCTAAGCCATTCACACATGGACTCACCTATTCAGACTCACTTCGTCTGAGCTCTAGCACCAAGGTGGAAGCTTGAAAGGCACCAGTGGAAACAGGCAGAGACTGAAGTGTGTGGCGTCAGGGTGAACAGAGGCCATTGTCCCTTGGCTGAGCCCTCCCCTACAGAGCCGGTAGGCTGGTGCCATATCTGAGACTCCATTAACCTGGCTAACACTGTGTGACCCACCTTGGATATCCACAGAGGCTCTACCCCATCCAATTCCTGGGCCCACTCAGGCTTGTTTGATAGGACTTAGGAGCAAGATGAGCCATTCTTATAAGACATGGCTGGTCTTAGCTCCTAAATCCTATCAAACGAGCAATGGCTGACTTCATTAAGCCCTAGCAGCAGCCAGATTAGAGTCGCAGCTTGGCTTCTCCTGGGAATCTCTGAGCCCAGCGCAAGTAGCAGCCATCTCAGATTACTTCACAGCTCAGCAAGGGTGCCCCCGGGAAGACACAGGGTGGGGGCTGACCTTGGCCTGCACCACCCATGAAACCCTTGGGCCAATGCACCAAGTTGATAGCCACAGACCATGTGGGAGCACTACCACCCCGCCTCTGCACAGCTGACCCTCCATGGAGGGTGGAGGTTGGTGGTCAGTGGTCACAGCCAGTCCTCGTAGCTGACTGGCCTGGGTAAATCCCTCCCATTGATCTGACAGTAGCAACTGAGGCGCAACTACAAAAGAAGGGCATACTTCGCTCACACCAAG